TATATTTCAGTTGGTATGTATTACAACTCAAATTGCATTTCAATCAGTATTATTAGTTACAAATACTCTTCAATATTAATAATATATAGTTATAACAGAGACAGTGAAGTCTTTTATCACATGGATCTGAATATACGAAGCTTAGGTAAACAATTACTGGAAAAGCGATAAATGAAGTTACTGTGCTAATAACTATCATTCCTATACTGTCATAGGTAGACAGAGAGCCAAAGGTAGATGTGAAAGCGGGCACAGGTGCAGATGTAGATGTAGATGCGGATGCGGGTGCAAGCACGGATGCGGATACGGATCCAAATGCGGATGCAGATGCAGATGCAGATGCAGATGCAGATGTAGATGCAGATGCAGATGCAGATGCAGATGCAGATGCGGATATGGATGCGGATGCGGATACGGATGTACAAATACAGATGCCAGATCTATATATTATTTAGCTAGCTCTTCTTTGGGACTGCCCTCTCTATACTGTGCTGCATTGCTTGGCTATACCCCAACGATACTTGCACATGAGCTGTAAGTAGGCCCTACAAAGTCTACAATTTACTTCTACTTTTTAATTGTCAGCTCATAAGTAGTACTAGTAGATTTAGTACAGGTAAAGCTAATCAGCATATTGAGACAATGTTATAAAAATCTAGCTGTTTGGATCTGTCCCCACCATTATTATCCGTGAGAAGCCTGTGTTGTCATTGTCTAATTATTGATGGAGTTCAAAAAGGAGGAACAGGTGGCTAATACTCTATAACTGCTGGATGGATGTCTCTGATATTCAAACTGGAAGTAGCTACAGGTGTACACACTAGAATTCCGTACTTGCACTAGCCGTACCATATGTTCCCACGGTGAGCGCCACACTTCTTTGTTTTCTATTTCTCTTACCGTGGTCAAAATACCAGGACCTGACCGCTGAAGCTACAGCTATGCGCAGCTAGAATAATACACTTACATACTTTTCCTAGCTACTGTAAATACCACATAGCTTTAGCTACTGTGATTGTAGTACAGGACTCTTCTCACTTGATTCTGCCTATTCTTCTTTGATATAGCTGCATCCTGCAGTCCCTTGGCTAGATATTGC